TTGTCCTCCATCTGCATTTTTCTTGTACCCAGCCTCTGCCATCTTGGAGCCCCTGAACTCCTTCCTAAAACAGAGTACTTTTGCTCATAGAACCAGCATTTCATTGCCAGCAATGAATTGTGCGGATGCCAAGTCCCCTAAGCCATTGCCACTTTCCTTTTTAGTAGTTAAGGATCCCTTAGGAAAATCTTAGGTGGAACTAAAAGATTTTTACCAACATGTAGCCTTCTCTACAATAGCCATTTTAACATACAGTTAAAATGTTAAACAGTTAACATTGCTCAGCATCCTCCAGGTACTGTGCTAAGAGTTTATCTGCATCATTTCATTGAAATCTCAAAACAGCTGGAACACTCTTGACTCTTACTCAGACTCTACTCAGAGGGCATCAAATTATGGAGGTTTTTCAGAGAACTCCTCCTACCCCTCAATCTAAATCTTTTACCTGTCTTTATTTTTCTCTATAGCTCTAGTCACTACCTGCCATATTTATATTTCTTGGTTTATTCACTCTCTCTCTCACATTAGAATGCAATGTCTAAAAGGGCAGGATTTGGTTTTATTACTTCTCTACCTCCCAAATCTAACACAGCATCTAGCACATGAGAAGTGACCCCCCAATTTTTATGAGTATCATAATGACCCTGTGACTTAAGTAGGATTTTACCATTTTACTAATGATCAAATGGAGGCATTCACGTGTGTCTGTGGGCATACAACTGGGGCTGAGCCAGGACTAGAAAGTCTATCTTCTTTAACCTGATCACTAACCACTGACCTCATGCCCCATTGCCTTTAGGGAAAATCAAAAAGAGGATACTCAATTGCTGTGGCTCTCTTCGGTAAGAAGACTTGTTAAGGCAACAGAAATAAGATAAAAAGCAAGGGTTGTATCTAATAAAGTGTCGGATAAACAGGAGGAAGCAATTAAATCCTAAATTATCCTTTTTCCCCCTTCCAACATATTTCATGTCTCAAAAAAGTTACCTCAACTTTCTCTTTAGGCCCAAGATCTCTTCCTCACTTTGTCTTCTTGCTATAACTTCTCCCTCAGTTTGCTGATGCCACAAGTTCTGTAAGAAAAAAAAAAAAAGAAAAAAAGAAGAAGAAGGAAATAACTTTAAGCATTTAAGCATTTGCTATATACATCTGCACTGCATTCAGCAGGCTGCATTCTTGACCCGGCTCCTCGCTGGTGGATTTTCTAGCAGCAAGCATTTTTAAATATACATTTTATAGATGAGAAAACTAAGGATCAAAGAGAGCAAATATCTCCTTCAAGGTGTCTCAGCCCGACTTCAAAGTTTGTGTTTTTTTTATTCATAGAGGTTAGAGAAGACAGTCCAGGAGACTGGGGGACTCACTAAGACGTCCAATAAGCTGGAGTAATGCTGCTGATTTTTCCCACTGGGATTCTGTTTGTTTGACTAGCACGTGAATGACAAGTGCCAGTTCTTGAATGTGATGAATACTCAAGATTGCAGTGCTGGTGCTTGGGTCAGATTGCCATCACCATCCTCAGATGTCCCTCCCTATGGGAGAAGAGCAGGGGCTTGGGCTGGGCCTAATCTACCCCTGAAGCTCTGCTCCAGGGGGTGGAAAGTCTCTGCCCTGTGGGAAGGGCCTGTTTAAAATAAGTGATCCAAGGACCTTAATAGAGTCAGCCTGAGAAAATGACTCTGACCCTGGGAGACAAAGTGGCAAGGGAGACATCTGTAAGAAAGAGTAGGCTAGGCTGGGGAGATGGGGGTGGGGTGGAACCAGACCTGCTTCTTTCCTCTCCTTCTTCCTCTCCTCTCTCCCCACCTTCTCTCCAGATTCTGCCACTACCCGCTGGGTCACCTCCACTTACCACACTTTCTGTCCACCCCCACCTGCATTCTGAAAGGATCCCCTCAGAAAGAAAAGGGTTTGGGATAGGGGGAGACAAATGCCTAATAAACATGAGAAAAGCTGCTAACCCTCTGCTAAACCTGGGAAATGGAAATTTAAAACAAGGCTGACATGCCTTGGAGGAGTTTTTAAACAGGGGAGGGATGTGGTCAGGACAGTTTTTAAAAGTACACTTTTATTTGACTCATTTCAATACAGTGTATAATTCTTTGGCTACATCTGAAAAATCAAATGATTCAATTTCAGGTTTGAAAAAAAAAAAAAAAAAAAAAACACCAGCCAATATACTGGTGTTTTGGTATTTTAAAATAATGCACTATCTGGTCTGGGGATATAGAGCAGTGGTAGAGTGCTTACCTAGGGGCCCCCATGCTCCGTGTTTGTCCCCACAAAAAAGTGATGAACAAAAACAATGATATACTTGTTGTGGAAAACAAGTTTTATAATTGTCTTTTACCTTTCCTTTCTGTACAGGACTTCTCTTACCTTGAAGCTTAATATGGATGAAAAAAAATGATCAGAAAAACTTGCAACAGCAAGGCAAACTAACACCAACAACTTAAGAACAAATTTCATTTAATAGAAGGCAGGAGTTAACTGCATAACTCAGGAATCTTTGAAAAGTTCTAAAAACTGAAAGTTGGTTGGTGATTCTCATTTTGTTTTAACTCAGTCTGGGGCAAGACCTAACGTGACCTGAATTTACTTAGTAGCAAAACCTGAACTGAGCTCATGTGGTACATGGCTATGTATAGCGATTATTTCCCACTTAGCATGAATTTTCATGTGTTTCACCACTGAAATAAGGTTTGATTATGATTGTGGGTCTTCTCTGTACTACATTGGGGTGTTATATACTTCATATGCCTATATTATCTTTCTTTAATCTGAAAAACAATCTATGAAACTCTGCCCTCCAAGGTTTGGGATGAGGAATTGGGGACAACCTTTCTCTCACTTTAAGTTATTTAAAAAAAAAAAAATATATATATATATATATAGATAGATAGATAGATAGATAGATATAGATAGATACAGATATAAATATATTATGGATATATATATATATATATATATATATATAGATATATAGATATAAAATACATAAAAATGTTAAAGTAGGAAAACAGATGATAAAGTCTAACATTTTCCCCTTAAAAAGTTGAAAACTGAGGTTCACAGGGTAGGAGCCTCCAAACACACAAATGCTGCTAGCATCTTCACATCCCATCTCTGATTCTGGAGAAATTCAACCAGGGACTGGCACCTGTGATGTCTTGTCTTCAATCATTTATTTTTACTCTCTTGATTTTGAGCCTAGCTTTCATCTACCTTCTCTCAGAGCCTGATAGAAGCCCAGGTCAAGTACGGGTTTTGGGTTGTTTTGTTTGTTTTGGTGGTGAGGATTGAACTCAAGTCTTGCACATGCTAGGCAAGTGCTTTACCATTGAGCCATATTCCCAGCCCCAAGAATGGGTTTTGAGAATCTATCTACACTGACTAGTAAATACTAGTGCTAAAAATAGGGTTACAAATTGTGGTAGTGGTTACATTTTGGTTTACAGTTTTGTTAACATAAAATAAAAGCAACATATGTGTTTATATACAAATTTATTAGAGATTGATCTATTAAACATATTAATATTTTTAAAAATATTAATTGCTAACACATTGCAGGTGGTAGTTCCAGTAGTGGAACACAAACAAGTTTGTTTGCTTGTTTTGTTTTGTTTTGTTTTTGCTACTGGGAGTGCTTTACCTCTGAGCTATAGCTCCAGGCCTTTTTATTTTTTCTTTTCAAAGGGGATCTCCCTAAGTTGCTTAGGGCCTTGCTAAATTGCTGAGTTTGAATTCAAACTTGCAATCCTCCTGCTTCAGCCACCCAAGTGGTTAGAATTACAGTGAAACACAAGTTTCAAATTGCATGATGAACATAGCCTTCTTTCAATATATCTCAAGGACAGGCAAACATATAACCTCATTTGGGGCTAATGTCAAAAGTCTATGTTATGCTCAAATTAGGAACCCCCAAAAGACCACCAGAGACCAAGATCGATGTAAGCAGCAAAGAGGTGTTTATTTCGAGCTAGCTCAATCCTCGGCGTGCACATAGCAACTGGTGACACTGAGAGGCCCCAGCCCAGGGTTTGCAGCAGTTTTGGGGAAGGCAGGGACTTCACATACATCATAGCGTCTCTTAGCAAATCATCACACACCGCGGGAAAATCATAAAACAACTCTAAAACATGATTAGCACATTCACTGGTGGGAACAAGTTGGGTAAGGGTGATTGGTTACTACAAGAGGGGGATTCATTTGAACTGATTGGTTTAAGCCATGAGGGGAGTAGTGCTGAACTACATGGTTTCCCAACATGTTATCAACCACCATAAACTACTGGGAGGGTCATCTGGCATCCCAGGTATTTTCCTGGTCTCATGCTGATTGGTGGCTGCTAAGGGGTTGCTATGGGTCCCCACCTAGTCTGACTGAGTCAGGGACACCTGGCTCAGCAGATCTCTCCTGTTATTTGTAGATAAACAACTAGCAGGGTGAGTATGTGCCTAGGACAAGGGTCCTCTTTCCAAGTATGTCCTCTTTCCAAGGACAAGGGTCATGCCCCCTTCCTTAGACAGCTTTGCTCTGAAGTAGAGGCTGGTTTTTCAGCATAAGTCAGGATCGGAGATAAGTATAAGGCTTGTCATTTGCATTTGTGTTTTTACAATATCTAAAAATGCTTTTTCCTTATGTCTTTATTTTTCTATTGAGAACTCTTTCTATATTCCAATAAAAAAATCACTACACATACTTTCTTTGAGTTTTTTAAATTAAATTCTTATATACCAGTGAAACATGTATTAATACATATTATGGGAAACTTAGAAATGAATTTCCTCCTCATCTTTTAAAAAAAAAAAATTGTTTTTAAAGTAACCTCCTTTTTTCTGACTTTTTGACCAAAGATATACTTGTTTGTTGTTCAATGAAAGAAAAAGAAGACACTGTTTTACAAAGAAATTGAAATTATTCTATAATCCTTGACTTTTAAAGGTTTTTTTATTGTGCAAATATTTATGAAAATTCATTTTTCCCCCCTTTCAAATCAGAACCTACTGGGACCTTAGATGTCTGGTACATGAAACAGGCCCTGGACTACGATAGACAACAAATTTCTCTTTTCTGGAAGGTAAGTTTTCAGTTTCAAATTTAAAATCAAGGAGATTATATATTTGAGTGATTATATGTTTACAAGGCAGAAAAATACCTTTTTTTTTTTTTTTCTGTTGTGGCTTTGATATGAGGCTTCAAAGCCTGTGTAGGAGCTCGCTTTCTCAGACTTGGCTCTGATCCCTGCTGCAGTGCTCTTTCCTGCCAGATGAGGAGGGGGGCTCCAGCCCAGGCCCTCCCTCCAGCCACCTGAGCCTTTCCTCATCCCACTTCCATTCCTTCCATTCCTGGCATTTCCACCCTCTCACCCCAACTACGCTGTCTCTTTTAACTCTTGTTACCAAAGCTGGTTCCTTGTCCCCGATGCCAATCCAATAATGAGGACATGGTTTGGAGAAAAAGGGAAAAGAAGGCTATGATTCTATCCAGCAGGAACAGGGGGCTTCTAAAGAGGTGACTCAAAGGCTACATTTCCTATGTTCTCTGTTGGAGTTGCAATTCACTTGTTAATTGGGAGACAGTCATTTCTGAGATCTGATACCATCCATCAACCAAGTCTGGATTACTTCGTTCCTATGGTGGGTGTTGTACTCATGGACAGATAACTCTGCTTAGGATGAGGAAGAAAGGTAATCCTGTTTCCCCTGAGATTAGGGAGGAGCAGGGAGAGAGGAAGAGGAAGAAACAGGTCCATTTGAAAAGTGAGTCACAGTGGCAGAGCAGCAAGGGCTAGGTTCAAAACATAAAGTGGACCATTGTTACCTCTGTCCCCCTCCCTTACATAAGGGTGTCCAGCAGTGACCATGGTAACTTTCCTCAAGATCTGGTAAATAGAGAAAGCTGTGGTATGGATATTTAGGAATGTGTTTTCTATAGTCATTGAAAGAGAGAGGGTGTAAAGAAAGCTGCCCTACCTCCAGAATATGTGTAGTAGTAGAAAATAACACGAATAGGAATAGAAAGTAGCACTTCCTCAATGGACGTAAAACAGGGATAGATTGAGCCACCTTCCAGAACACAGTAAGCCCTTACGGTAGAATGAGAGTTTCACCAAGTGCCGGAAGCCACCATTGCAGGTCCATTCAGTCCTCACAAAACCCTGTGAAGTGCTAACATCCACCTAGCGGATAAGAAAACCAAGCCTCAGGAAGAGGAAGTTCTTGCCCAGTGTCATCCACTAACTACAGGGCTGGGACCTCCTTGGTTACTTCATGGTATTTTCTTTGAAAGAAAATGCTATGTGAATTGAGCTACTGCTAGGCATGTTCAAAAGAAAAGGTCTCCTAGTGAGTGTACTCCTCTTTATTCCTCAAACTCACATCCCTCTCGCTACACCTCTTCCAGTCAAGGGCAAACAAACAGTTTTGGAATTATGAACCCCATGAGCAGGAAACCAGAAGAGTCACAATGATGAATATGATGTCCTCCATTGGGTTTGATAGTTGCAGTCTTCTTCAATTTTAAGAAATGAGCTTGCCCTTACCCTCCCTCCCTCTCCCCCACCCTCTCTCCTTCTCCTTCTCAGTCTGGTGTACTAAAAATAGCCTAGTGACTCATGATCAAGCTCTTCCCTTTGAAACTAACTCTGCAGCTCAACATTTATTTTAAAATAAATCTGCTTTTTAATAGGAAGAAAATTCTCAAAGCAGGACATGCAGAGAAGCCACAATTTGCAGTAGAAAATAGCTCAATTTGTTGGCTGTTGGTTTTCATTTTCACAAGGAAGGAACTGGTTAACACCTAAATTTCTCCTCCAAAAAAAAAAAAAAATGTCCTCAACAGTGATCTGAAAGAGACTTTGTGAATCCTATTTCGTGTCTCTCTCCTCAAGGGTTCCTCTCAGCAGAAAGAGAGTAATGATAATGGAATCTATAAAGCCAACAAGACTAGTGTGGGGTCAATCAATGAGGGGACACAAAATGGTTAGAAACCATAGAGCAGGGAGGGGCTCCAAGGTAAAACCAGGTGTTACTACAGCATGCCTGTGTGCTTCTTGGGGTGTCAGAGACTACAGACCATGCATCACCATGGTGGTCTGAAAGCCGAACCAGAGGCAAGTCAAAGTAAATGCCTGTTAACCACAAGTCCTGCTCAGCAAATGTGCACATGCAAATTCTTCTGAGTTACTCACTTTGGCCTTGTCCTCATCCTCACTAGTTTCTAGAGAGACCTTGGAACTCAAAGTCTTCAATGCCCTTTGAGTCTACCCTTCCTCTTGTTGTAAATATCGCTTCTACTTCTGCCAGGACAGACAGAAGTCGCTGCTGCCTGCCCCCCAACACACACACAGGCACCCATCATAAAATTCTTTCTTTTATGAAACTAGAATGTGGGCCTCAGAAGGGTGACCCGGACTGAATCTGGCCTATGTTAGAAACTAAAAGGTCAATACTAGAAGTGTCTGTGATTGACACCAGATGTAGTCATCAAAAAGTTGGATCCAGTCCTAGCTTTTGCAGGGCCATTATAGGATTAAATCCTTTTCTGTCAAATCCTGGGCTTGTCCAGTGGCCCCCAACAGGCCACTCTGTTGTGGAGGGAGGGATGAAAACACTGCCTAGAGAAACTGGGATGAGCAGTCTTGCTTTGGACCACAGACTTCTAGAGCCACAGGGATGCCATCCTCCCCCACACATACGCACTCATTTTTATAAATGTGGAAGCTGAGGTTTCAAGAGGGTTCTCCAATGAGAGGCCTTGGGGTAACATGGCCCTGTTGCAGGAGACATAAATCACTGTCCCTCTTTGTGAACCCAGCCTGACCCCCCTTTCCTACTGGGGGTTCCTCATGCCACACTCAGATAGGCCTGGGGATTCAAGGAGGTGATGCTGAGGCACAAGGATGTCATCTGATGTCAGCCCAGAAAAAAAATGTTACAGCTAGGTTAGACGCTTTGTGGTGGGCCCAAGTCATCTCTCGCTGAGCAAAGACGTAGTGTGCTGGGGTTTTCCTTCTTTGAGCAACACTGGGAAACCAAACACAGGGGCCACCCCCACAATGTCAGAGAGAAGCACAATGGAAGCCCCAAGTAAAACCCCACAAGCCTGTGACAAAGAGCACGTTCCTCACGTCAGGGGACATGTGAGATGACCTTTCGCTTTTGTAGGATGTTTACATTAGAGGAGAACACTTCACGCTGAGGGGATGCAGCCCCTTGGGGGGTGTGCATGGCTGGGTGTATGTGTGGCATACGTGTGAATGCATGTGAGTTTTGAACGTGAGCAGGATGAGTTTGTGCAATACAAATCCATGTGAGGGTGAGGGTGTCACTGAGTGTGTATGTGTGAACATGTGTGTGTAAGGGTGTGAGACTTGTGCATGTGACTAAGTGAGGATGGCAGTGTGCATGTGAGTGTTGGAAGGTGTGTATTTGTGGGTAGGGTGGACGAGTGTGGTGTGAGCGTGTGAATGTGAGCATGCTCGTGTGTGAGGGTGGGCATGTGTGAGTGTGTGGGTGTGTTGAGGGTGAAGGGACCTTTGCTTTGTTGTTATGGTTTCCACACCATTACTCATTTCCTCATACCTTGGTTTTTCCTGAAAGCTCCATTTCTTTATAACTATCCTGTACTTTTTTGAATCAGCTATTTTTAAGAGAAAAGGTATTTTCTAAGTTAAAGCCAAAAAGTACAACCTAATGTATGAAATGAAATGAAAATACCTGGGCACTGTTAAAACAACAGATGCAGTAGCAGGTAGGAGATGGTGCTCGGTCCCAAGCAGCCCAGTGTCCCGTGAGAGCCCTTCACAGGCTCAGCAAGCCCTCCCTCCAGTCCCCCTGGCTCCTCCTGGGCGGTTTCTCTTGATTTCCTTTGCTTTGGTGAAACCTTTCAATCCCTGCACACTTTCAATTCCAGCACACTTTTCTTTCAGTTAAGATAGCATGTATCCTTTAAAAAGAAAGTTATCTTCAATATATATGGATGGTGGTTGAAAAAGTATGACTATGGGTTAAAGCCACATTAACCTTTAGCATTTCCTCTTAATTTCTTCCGTCTTGATCATACCAAGCCATAAACCTTTTGAAATGATGGTGGAGATATGGAAGAGAAATAGCCACGCACAAAGGAAGCTGAATTCTTTCATGTGTTCTTTCAAACCAATAAATATATCAAAGTTCCTCTTTAGTACTAAACTCATGCTGTGTGGCAGGGATATGAAAGTGGAAAAGACCAATCCAGCCCTTAGGTCCTGGAATTCACAGTCCAGTGCAAGGATTGGAATGGGAGCAGAATGTCAAGGACACCAGGAGGTATTGAGCAGGAGTTTAGAGATCAACTGGAGGAGTGGTGGTGGGCTTGCCCGGAAGAGCAGGGAAGTTGGGGAGTCCCTCCATAAGGGATAGTGGAGCTGAATGCTGAAGGACAGACTCTCCACAGAAGAGTGTGAGAACGTTTGTCAGGGACTGTGGATTCATGATGGAAAGCATCGCTTTAGCGAAGCTCTGTTCCACAGAAATATAAAGCCAGCCACCGTTGAAAGCCACGAGTGATTTAAAATTGTCTTGTGAGCCACATTTTTAAAAAGTAAAAAAGAAACAGGTGAAATTAATTTTAAATAATATACTTTAGCCCAATATATCCAGAATATCCTCATTTCAAAATGTAATCACAGCCAGGTGTGATTACAAACCTGTAATCCCAGCATCTCAGGAGGCTGAGGCAGGAGGATCAAGAGTTCAAAGTCAGCCTCAGCAAAAGTAAGGCACTAAGCAACTCAGTAACACCCTGTCTCAAAAAAAAAAAAAAAAAAAAAACGTCTGGGGATGTAGTTCAGTGGCCAAGTGCCCCTGAGTTCAATCCCCAGTACCCCCGCCAAAATGTAATCGCTATTTAAAATGATTGGGATATTTTACAGTCTTTTTTCCTTTTCTCCTGAGTCTTCAAAAACTGTGTGTCTTCTAAGTATCTGCACAGTACAGAAGTTAAGAGCTTCCCACCTGGCAGAGAGGCAGCACCGGTTGGTTTATTTCAAGGGCTTCCTCTTGGTACTGCATACCTCCAGAGTTCTTCCACAAGCAA